CTTATATTAAGGTTTTTCTTCATTACCCATTTAAGCCGTCTCCATCCATTATACATATAATTTGTAACACTGTGAGTTAAGAATAAATTTCTAATTAATTCTAGAAGAAAGCATTTCCTTGTGACAAAGATATAGATGTTTTTTTATTATCTGTAAAATTTCATATGCATAAAAGTACAGTTCCTAAGAAATAAGGAAATCGTGATGCATGTTTATTTTTCTTTACCCAACCAGACACTAAGAAGAAGAAGAAGCAAGGTAAACCCAGCAAGTTCTTCACTGAAGGCTGGGTAGAATTTCTTGATAAAAAAGTTGCCAAAAGAATTGCTGTTATGTTGAATGGTCAGCAAGTTGGCGGCAGGAGAAAAACACCATTTTATGATTCGTTATGGAGTATCAAATATCTTCACAGGTTAGCGTTTGTGTTTTAACACAAGTGTTTACATATAATTTAACAGAATATGATACATTCACTGAAATCTCTTTCTGCTGAAGTAAAGAATTACAACTTCAAAGTCTATGTAGCTTATTTTAGTTGCAAAAAAAAACACGTTAAACTTTGTAAGTTTATGATTTTCCTTTTTTTGTAGATTATGTTCCAGAATAATTTAGTTATTGTTATCTAAGCATTCTTTAATATTCATACAGTAGTAGTTCATTTATTAAAATTGTAATATTTGTGTTTGATTTATTAGGTTGTATGTTTACAGTGATAATTCAAAAATGAACATTAAAATGTAGTTTTATTCTTATACGATATATTTATCGTAAATTTGCAGATTTACAATGTTAAAATCCAGGGTTCAATTCCCCACTGGTGGACAGAGTGTATATAGTCCATTTTGTAGACTTGTGTTAAAACAAAGAATCTTATATAAAATATTGTCCAGACAGTGTTGACTGATTTTTACACTCTTACCAAATTCATTAGTTTCCATGATATTTATTAATCTTGGATGTTTAAATAAATTCAAAAACTATTCTTTTGGAAATCAGTTATAATATCTTGGAACTTATCAATGATTGTCTTTACCATCTTAATAGTGTCAGAAAATAAACCTAAATTTATTCTGACAACTATCAGGTTTAAGTGGGCCCATCTCAATGAACGACTAGCATACGAAAAAGCAGTACGAGACCAACGAATGAGGACAGAGATCTCTCAGGTAAAGCGAGAGGCTAATTTTTACATGCAATCAGTAGACAGAAGCTTAAAACTAGCAAGGAAGAGAAAAAAAGGAGATGTAGAGAAACATGATGACACCGGTCCTGGTCAGGTGTGGGTTAAACAGAAACGTACAGATGAGGAGATGAAAGAACTTCAGAAGCAAAGGAAGAAACAGAAAAACTCTGAAGTCGGTGAAGATAGTGATAAGACGCTACTGAAGAACATATTTTCTGGTGGATTCTAGCAAGACATGGCATAGATCCAATATATAATAAAGGTAATGTATATTTACGGAGACTACAGAGTATGAAAGGTGTAATTTTCATTGTACATGTAGCACTTTTATAGTTTCCTCTGATTTTATTTTCAATTTTTAGACAGTGGTCTAAATAAAGCCACATTTATGTAGAATGAGATAGTCTTGGGGAATTTTATTTTAGGAAAACTAAAGTTATTTCATCTAGAAATAAGGAGTTTGTAGGCACTTGTAATTTGTTTCATCACTAATTTCCTGTTTGAAAAATACTCCCCACCCACCCGATTAGTGACTGAGGCAGAAGCCATTGATGTTGGAAAATAGCTAGTAGCAGTATTGTTTCTTTTCCTCAAATACCTACTTTTCTTCCTTTGTTCTGCAGAACTATATAAATCCAGACCAATAAAATATCCAAAATTTTATTTCAGAACCACTATACATAAGTTTTAAACTGCAACAAAACCATGACATAATTGATATAAGCAGTAAGATGTTATATACATATGAATACAGTTTAATAATACAATTCCCTCTCTCATAACCCAGAAGTTGTAAGTAATTAATTTTAAGAACAAAAGTCATATATATATTTAGTTTGTAAAATTAAAAGTGTGATGTTAAGAAATAAAATAATTAGTCCACACTAAAAAATATGCATTTCAGCTGAGCTTTGTGTAAAAATTCAAAGCTATCTTAATTTTTTAAGCCTAAGCCAGACCTTGGAAAGTTGTGGTTGCTTACTGATGTACATCTTTAAACATGCATATTGTAAGTTTGTATGAGAGACTGTAAAATTTCTATTTATTTAATTGAGTTTTTAAAGGTCTTGAAAGCTACAAGGATCACTACCTATGTTTTCACAAGAACTTTGAAGGTCATTTGTTGAGCATTTGTACCAACTGTTACATACAAATAACCACTCTTTTACTGTTCCTTAGCATCCTCCTTGACTGGAGAGAGTACACGACGACGTTGCTTCAAAAGGTGACCAAACAGCTGAGGGAAAACTGAGAAGAAACAGACAACTTGTTAACTTGTTGCTAAATTTTTCATTGCTGTAAAAATTTTGCATTAAAAAAAGATTCATTATTATTTTTACGTGTTGTGGACTGGTGTGACAAAATTTCATAAATCATAAAATACTTCATTGAAATATACGGAGTAGAACAACACAGAAGAAATTCTGTATACGGACTTACATGGAACATATGACAGTAATATCCCAATTAGTACATAATGGAAGTGAAAGGAGATATTTGCACGATTTGGTAACAATATGGACAATGTCTGTCTGTCCCTGATGTAAGGAAATGCTGCCAACATAGTGAGTATTTCTCCCTGTGAAAAAAGATAAAAATTACTCTTTCATAGATTTTAAGATTGTGAGAACCAAAAGTGATAAAGTAAATACAGCTAAGTGGTTAAATCTGGTCACACATAAATCATAAAAGACGGATTAAAATAATTCTATTTTATCTAGTTTCAGATAAAATAACTAAGAATTTGAGTGAACTCTTGTGGTTAACAAAAAAAACAGAAGTTTAAAAAGAAATAAATATGTTGATATTACTTGAAGTAATTACAAATTTAAAGGCTTCTTTATATTGTTATATTGTTCTTATAGAATACCCACCATATTCAAAATAATACAGAAAGGTATTATATTACTATTAATTGTGTGAGCATAAAAATATTTTCATTTATAGAAATACTGATGACTGTAAATAGATTATTCAATTTCGTGCATGTTTAGCAGTTTTTTTTTTTTTCGCTAACTGCCAATAGTCATTTTTAACCTACAGTTCTAATAAAAAGTAATTTCACAGCATAGGGTATGTTGAATAGTACACAAAACTATGCTTTAAGACAAAGCATCTCAATACAATATTCATAACCAGAGTTGAAAAGTGTAATGTATTAACATACAAAAAATGAGAGCAAAGATAGTTTTTTTTTCTCTTTTAAAAATTATATTTTCTGTCACATTCCACTTGTTTTGTTTTTTTTACGTAACATTATATGTATGTAAAACTGTTACAAAACTATAAGGAAATTCAACTGATATATCATATGAACAATAATCAGTTATATTTTAAAATGCCACCATCAACACTTTTTATGCAGCTGCAACATGATCTAAGAAAATAATGTCACAACATAAATCTCTATACTACATACAATTTGTGGCTAGGATCTTTAGTTATTTATATACAAGCAAGAAATGTAGGGTTACTGCTTCAGTGACATGCAACTTACCGTGACTCCTGTAGGGTAGAGTACAACAAATAGCGAATATCTAAAAATAAAAAAACATTTTTAGGCCTAACTTAATATTTTTATATATATATTGATAACGAAACACTGGAATTTCATACTATTCTATTTTTTCTGTCCTTTACTAATTAATT